GTGTCCAGTTGCAGAGTACTGATGTCAGAAGGTCAGCTAGGCATACTCGACGGAGATAATGGGGTTTGTTGAGCAGTCTCCTTCTCGTTCTCCGCGTTGGGTTGGGTTGGCGGATTAGGTCTCCACTCTGTTGTAGTACATTATAATCCTTTTTGAACGACGATGAGCGCTTCAGCGCGATCATCGAAGCCTCACGGTCGTGACTCGACACATGTAGTATCATACCTCTACGAATGAGTTATGAATCTTCCTTAACTCTTAGGGGCATCACCATCCGCTGACATTCAAGCAACAAGGTATGCCCGAATGGGAGAGAAATGAATACCGAAGGCTGATTCAGAGGATATGCAGACACCATAGGGATATAGTAGAGCCGTTCATCAATCCTGTGCCCAAGACGGTACCACGCTACTATGACATCATATCGACACCTGTTGACATCGGGGTCATTCGGGAGAAACTCGATACCCTGGCATATAACAGCCGAGCTGAGTTCGAAGGTGATATCAGACAAATGCTCAGTAATGCATATTTGTATAATAACCCGGGTGAATACGTCTTTGAGAAGGCGTTGGAGTTCCACGATCTCTTCAACGAGCAAATGAACACAACGGTTGCAGTCGTGCTGGACAGGCTGGCTCAGGAGGAGGAGGCTATTACTAAGGTCAAACGTCGGCGGAAAGAGTAATCGATATCGTTATCATTGCCTGATAATGTAGCAAGAATGAGCATATGCCGCTCTTAATAAGAGACTTGAGTTTATAGTGGCATCGCTACTTAACAAAATCATGTGAACTCGTGGGTCATGATGATATTGAAGGTAATGTAAAAGTCGTTACCACAAATTGTCACTGTTGGTTTTTTACGATAAGTGAACCAACCAACGGTCCCTGGGTAGTAGACAGTTCTACGGCTGTTCGCAGTGTGTAAGCGATTGATCTCGAGATGAACATACGTGAATGAGGTTGCGAACGATACGATGATGAACGTACAATGATGAAAATACTGTTGTTCCTGAGAAGGATATTGTGGCTAATGATCGGCTAAGTCGTTGAGAGCTACGGTCAGGTGGGATTTGAGGAGAGTTGCGACCTCGACCGAGACAAACTTGATAGTCTTGTTTAGTGGTAGTACGTGAGAGTCAAAAAGTTAGTTTATACATTTCTCATGAGTATGTATAACATACTGTAGTTAAAGTGACCATCTCGACTGTTGTGATATTATGAATACTGCGAGGACAATTGGATACTTTAAAACGTGTCACAGGGGAAAGCGACGCCTTTCATATATTCATCACGAGATGGAGAGTGGGTGGTAATACTGCCCGCTTGAGTGGGTTTATGACTTTCCAACGAAACACCCTGTTAACAGCGATGGTAAATAGGAAATATCTACGTTTGGCTCTCCGTGGTGACACTAGTTTTCGTCTGTCACCGCCATATCGGCTCTGGTTTTCCTGTATTTTTTCTTCCTCTGTGAATCTCCCTCCTCCCCCTCCTCCTCCGCCTTCTCCTCCACAGCTTCTTCTTGAGTACCCTTCTTCAGAAGCTTGAGGAATTTACTTTTGGATGTTGTATCCATCCCTGTGGACAACACACAGATGCCGATGAAAAGAAATTCAATCATCACTCTCAAGGACGAACTACAAT